CCAGCCCCTCCCTGATGTGTGATTTTTGCCTATAAATATCTGAAAGACTTTTTGCCCGGGGCCCAGCTCCGCTCCTGCGTGAGTTTCGAGTTGAGCCCCAGCGCGCTGGAATAAAAACCTCTTGCGGTTTGCATCAAGTAACGTCTCCTGCGGTTGATTGGGGTCGCCGCCAGTCTGCAGGACAGAGTGAGGGTCCCTTTTCAGGGGTCTCACACCTCCTTTGATTGAAATGTATAGATACAATTGTAACCCCGCCATTCTCCAGAGCACTATCTCAATTCGTTGAGGTTCTGCTTCCCGGCATATGTCGACAGTTTGGATCAAATAAACTCACCAAAATTCTTTACAGGTTTCAAAGGTTTTTTTTACGTTAACACTTTGTATATTATATCATTGCCTAACTACTAGGCTGTACACCTGAAACTAATATAAAGTAACATTAAATGGCCAACTGTAATTGAAAAATAAAATTTAAAAAATTATTTTTGAAATTGCCCTTAGAAGTCTAGCTTCTTTGAAATATCATAATATGGAGAGGTGACTAGAACTATATTTTCCACCATAGCATAAAAGATGTAGGCCACTTCAATGAAACAAATCTGTTAACACATTGCACAAAAAAATTTATTAAAATTGCTCAACATATAAAGCCTTTCTTCAACACTATCCTTGAAATAAATGTATTAATGAGTTGTGGTGGTTTCTTGTTATTCTGCTACTTGTTATTCCCCACAATATACTATTTTGGCGTAAGGATGTTTGAGCTGAGAAGAAAGATACACGAAAAGTTCCCTATACTCCCTGTATTTGCTTCAAAGCTGGCTATAAATTTGTAAAGATGTCCCTCTCCCCTTTCTACCAGGAAGGACAGAAATTAACCACTGACAAAGCCAGGGACCCTCATAAACTCAAAGATGGCACCAGAGGAATCTACATAACAGTTTTTGCTAAGACAAACCCTCATCTACCATTAATTTTCTCATACATTTGCCTTTCCATAATTTGCTGCCCTAAAAACTCAAAAGTCCTTATCCTTTGTCTGGAAACTTTCTACAAAATTATTGTTTCTTGCTAAGGTGCCACTTAAGCCCAAGTTCTAACCACTCCTTTGAGTTACTCATCACTGAGTACTCCCTTGCATACGTAGCACAATACACATGCTAATAAACTGTTTTTCCCTTGTTAATCTGTCTTTTGTCAGTCTAATTTACAGGGCCCCAGACAAGGAACCTAAAATGGATAGAGGCAAACCAGTTTTTCTTCTCCAACAGTTTCAATCACCTCTCTTATTTAAAAATGTAATACCTTGGCCCTGACTGGTTTGGCTCAGTGGATAGAGTGTCGGCCTGAGGACTGAAGGGTCTCAGGCTCGATTCCGGTCAAGGGCATGTACCTTGGTTGTGAGCACACCCCCAGTAGGGGGGCGTGCAGGAAGCAGCTGATCGATGTTTCTAACTCTCTATCCCTTTCCCTTCCTCTCTGTGAAAAATTAATAAAAAAAAAAAGTAATACCTTGTAGTAATTTTATTTAGTTCAGACAACTCTCTGTTAGGCAAAGTACGACTGTCAAAAGTATATAATAATAACATATGTCTCGACCTATTACAGTAAATAATCGACTATAAATGTGTAGAAAGTGCCAATGACTATCAGTCTCATATAGTAAAGTTGTTTAAAAAAAAGACTTCCTGGGTCGCACCTCTGAAAATTCTGATGCAGTAGATCTGTCAGGGCTTGGGGTCCACATTTTAAAGAGGCTCCAGGTAGTTCCCATCCAAAAGGTCTAAGGACCCCGTCGGGGAACAGGTAGAGGGTATGCAGCATTGTCAACAAGGAAGGTTTTTAAGCTATCCACAGCCTCCGACCCCCCAGATTATGAACACCCAAGGAGACTCTCCCCACTGCCCTCTCTGTCCCTGTTCTTCTTCCTCCCCAATGATTCTAATGCAAACTCTGTTACTACTGTTAAGAGAAAACCGAGAAAACCGTAGGCCCACAATGGTGTCACTCCTGCTAAAGCCCATGATATCAAACCTAGATTTAACACCTGATTTAACTGCAGTTTCAACATCTCTCAGAAATGCAATCTTATTCATAAGCAATCTGCATGATAAAAATTCTTGTCTCCCACCCCACACCCCAAAAGACAGTTTGTTCTAAAAATAATCCTTTCTTTTCTTTTGTTAAATCTTTCTTTCTATGACAATCTTCCATTTTGTACAACCCCATAGAATGTCTTCTAGTTGCTAGATGGGATATACCTGATTCATGAATCACTTAATAAGGCCAATTAGATGTTCAAGTTTATTTGGTTGACATATTTTTTTAACACTCTAAAGTTGTGTTTTCTATTCCCAAAGGCTTTGATTTAACTGATCTAAGGTAGGGCCCATATATGAATATTTTTTAAATTACCCCACTCCCTATGTATTCTAGTGTGGACAAAAAGTAACCTCATACTAAACCTGACGAACTCAGGAGAGGCCTGCATGGCGGGTCTTACAAACTCAGAGTCCAAAAGTAACCACATAGGATGGTTTGAATAATAAAAATTCCTAACTAAAAGTGGGTCATGGTGTGTAGTCACATCCCCTCCCTGTAGCTAGCTTCCTTGGCAAATGTCAGTCTTTACCCTGATGAGCCTATTATCTTTCTCCATCTAAGATAACACATCTTTGCAACGTCAGAGTAATCTCATTTCCCAGATCCCTCAGAGCACACCTCCCACCAGATCACAGGCCCCTCACTGTTACCTTGTTCCCCACATACCATCTCTGCGCGCTGTAAATGTGAATAGTTAACTATCCTATGTCCACCAATGAAAAAGAAGTATGTCTTATTCTTTATCCAATCTCAGAGATTTCACTGTTTTGCTTTCTCCTGCCTCCCTAATCAACCACCAATGAATTTTATGTAGCACCCCCTCCCCCACATACAGCTCCTCCTTTGATTCTAATGTATAAAATAAACTGTAAAACTGCTATTCTTTGGAACATTGCTCAATATGTTGAGATTTTGCTTCCAGGCACTTGTAGTTAGTTTGGCCCAAATAAATGCATAAAAATTCTCTGCAGGTTTGGATGTTTCTTACATTGACATGTGTGCAGCTGAGGCTGAGGACCATTAGGTTTGATTTAATAGGTAATAGGACATCTTCATTGGTTCGTGAACAAGAAAGTATCATTATGAAAACCATATTCTGATAAGATTAATTTACTAGTGAGAAATGACAGGGACTGGGTGTAAGGCAACTGGGGCAACGGGAAGAGGTGAGGTTCTAGGTAATCAGTGTAAATCATATATTGCCGGGAGCTGGTCCATCCTTGCTGTTTCAAGGGACCTGGCATATATGGCATACTGTTCTGAATACGTTTGCTCACCTTCTTGGCACTATGTGTTTTAACCAAGGTCACCTCTCTGAGAAAGGTTGTTTCCCCAGGTAGGGATTTTCCCCTGAAGTTAGGGAGGGAATAAAACCCCTTAACTAAGTGCCAGGCAGGTAAACCTGACTAGAACATGGTGACAGAACCTAGCTAGAGAACCTGGACAGAACCTGGCTGGAGAACTTGGTCAGAACCTGGCTGGAGAACCTAGTGAGGGAACATGGCCACAGAACCTGGCTGGAGAACCTAGCAAGAGAACATGGACATAGAACCTGGCTGGAGATCCTGACCAGAACTTCGCTGGAGATCCTAACCAGAACTTGGCTAGAGATCCTGGCTAGGCTGCTGATCAACTGAACGCTGTCTCCGTGTCATTCCTTCTTCGCCGACTCCGTCCACACCTTTGGGAACCCCTGGACTGCTGGGGTTGGACCCCAGCAATATATAACTATAAATGGTTAAGATAACTACTGGAGGCTGGAGAGAGAATACATAACTTCCTAAGGTGTGTTCCTCTTTTATTACTACTTAAACCAAAATACATCCATATCAACAATTATCAAGTATTAATAGACTATTTATTAAAATCATTGTTGTTATTACTCATAAAATGTTTAAGATGAGAAAACAGAAATTGTTCCTTCCACTTGGAATGTTCTCTGTCCTTTGGGCTCATTGAAAAACCTACTCATCCTTTGTGTGAAGACTCCATACAGAAGCTATTCTTTAAACTTTGCTACTTTTCATCCTCCTTTGTGCACCTCCCATGCTACTTGAGCAGTCTGGGTTAAGGGAGTAAAGCTAGAAAGCTACTGGTCCCCGCTTAGGTAAGGACCTAACTCTTGCAGTTGCTTTCTCTATTTCAATTTGCCTTAATCAATCACCAAGCAAATATGCCAGGCTTATGTCATCACAATCTGTCTCTAGAGTTCAGAGAATAGCATATTGTGAACTGATCACTTTACCTGTGGAAAAGGCCATGCCTAAGCACGTGTTGAAGCCAGTGATGGCCAGAATGTCATCGAAGCTGCCAGCTGCCATGAGTAAGGTTGGGACACCTTTTTCAACACCATAACCTCCTTCCTGCAAAAGGAGCATTGAAGGCACCACGACAGCTGGAGAGACAGCACCTACAACAAAACTAAGCAGGCAGTGCTTAAACATTTATGGTAGTATCTCACTCGTCATCATTGTTATGAAATTACAATAACCTCTGCTCTTTTAGAGCACACATGTGAGAGAGTCTTTTGAATGGCAGTGATGCATCAAACCAGAAACACATACACACACACAAGCTCTACAGAACACTTGACAAACTGTGGCCATGCACCACCTGACTGTAAGCACTTTGGTTGCCTAATATATATCTGCATTTATGGGTGGTCTTCTAATGAGGTTAGGCTCCAGGAAACTGCCATTTTAAAAAGGTGGCCATGGATCTGTGGATTGGAACCCAGTGATCTCAGGCCTTCTACTGGGCCTTGGCATATAAAATAAGACAACAGACTAGGAAGGGGAAGGCCATCCTGACAGTGACAGTGATACTAAGAATAGCAGCAGTAGTAACAGAAGGAGCATGTTACAGTGCTTACCATGTGCCAAACCCCATTTTAAGCAGTTTGCACATATTAAATAATTTAATCCTCATAATAACCCTATGAAGTAACTACAATCATTCTGTTCATTTTGCAAATGGAGACATTGAGGCACAGAGAGATTAGGTAACTTGCCAGAGATCACACACTGGAAAGTTACAGAGCTGGGACCAGAGCCCAGGCAGAATATAGCTCCAGAGTCTTACTCATGAGAAGCAATAACTAACTTCTCACCTACTTGTTACCCTACATTTTTACTAAGCAATTTATATTTATTTACCTCTCCTGGCCCTCAGCCGTTGGAAATAGTAACTGACAGTGCAAGGAAGAGGCAGCAGAATCCCCTAATCACAATAGTCTAGAGCAGTGGTTCTCAACCTGTGGATATCGCGACCCCTTTGGTGGTCAAACGACCCTTTCACAGGGGTCGTCTAAGACCATCCTGCATATCAGATATTTACATTATGATTCATAACAGTAGCAGCATTACAGTTATGAAGTAGCAACGAAAATAATGTTATGGTTGGGTCACAACATGAGGAACTGTATTTAAAGGGCCAGAAGGTTGAGAACCACTGGCCTAGAGGAAAAAAACGGTACCAGGTGATCACTGCTGATGTCTCAATGATCCTTTGTGCAGACTCTGGAGTGAGATTCAACAGCTCTCTCAGCAGCATGGAGTCAGATGTAGGTAAAAAGTCTATTACTTCCTCAATCATATAAATTATTATAACCACTGTAAAAGTTAGCACCGGCAAAGATGTGTACTCTATTTTTAAGTTATAATATTTACACATTGGAATATTAATACTTAAATATTGTGCTAAAATATCCATTTTGTATTTTCTGATGTCCTTAAGAAAATGCTATTATGCATTCTCTTGTATCAAATTAGAGAAAGTTCTAAATATCCATGCATATTTTCATACGACAAGGAAAAATCATTACCCCAGTATAAATGCCCATTGCCATGGTAAACCCATTAGGAAGTGGGCAAGAAGAGCGGACGTGCATGCCTCCACAAGACAAGGACCGACGGATAATCGCATACAAACACCCTTCAACTTCTGCAGGGCCTGAAATATAAAAACAGACATTCTAAAGCAACCTGCTAAAGACACACAGGGAAAATGACACGAATTGCTTTTTCTTCAGTACTGAGACCATGTCTGGATCATAATGAACTTTCCAGGTAATGCGTTTTATTCCATAAACATTTCAGCATTCTAAGTGTTTTAGAGATAGCTTATTTTGTCCTCATAGTAACCCTATGATACACGTAATATTATTACCACCGTGTTTTAGATGTGTTCATCTGAAAAGGCACAAGTTCAAGTGATTTGCCCAAGATCATGAAATTGGTGAGTGGTGGAGTTAGGTTTGAATCCAGGAAGGCAGCTCATAATCTCCACACCCGTTTAAGCTTCTCAGTGTTGGCTTTATGTACAACCTGTGGCCCCAGCATGAACCCAGGTTAAAGACTCATCCCCAAGAATATTCATTCTATATTCAAAGACATACATGAATAAAAGCATTTTAGAAAAGCATACTTGAGACTCATTCTATATACCAGGCAGTTTCCTAAGCCAGTATAGTTAGTCCTGAACACCTCACTTGTATAGGGTTTTGTGCATCAAAAATATGTTTCTCTCTGCTCCTTACTTATAACTATGGCCTATTTCTCTGTCAGAGAAAGGGAGGGGCTTTATTCTTGGTGCTGTCCCCAAACAGGCAGTAACTCCACCTTCTCCAAGAAAGAGTATGAGGACATCTTCTGGGGACAGTCCTGCATGAAATAAATTGCATTGTCTTTTTGAGAATGCCATGCAAAATGTCCACATCCATTTCCTAAAGCGCAGGGATTCTAAATACTTGTGACATTGGAAGAATAAAATTCCTAGTCAACAGTTAGACATTTACAACTTCAGTACCTTTGAATCAAGCCCAAGGCCAGCACGAACCAATATGATAGACAGGGCTATACTTCTCAAAGCGGAGGACCACTTGTGCTTGATCTGTACATTATCATTGATGACAGGGATATTTTTTATGAGAAACCCAGCAAGCAGCATACCTGGAATGGAGAAGTCAAACAACCCTTTAGATAGTTTTCAAATACAGAAAACACTTTTTGGCACTGTGGATGTGAGAGAGACTACTCTGTAATCTCAGGGACCACTTCCTTTATGCTTAGCCCTCAGATAAATTACATTAAACTTTAATTTAATATTAATATAATACAGGAGCAAAGAAAAAGCTTTAATATGCAAATTGAAAGGACAGATTAGAATAATAACTGAAATTGAAAGAGAGAAATAGGAGGCAGTATTAGAAAGTGTGATCAAATATTAAATGTTTTAATAAAATGCCTAATTCAGTCATCTCTTTATGTGCAACTAGCAAATAGCTCCTAAAATTATTTGCTAAGTCAGATTACCTGAAATATAAATAGCTATATGGGCTCTATTTTACCTTCAAACCAGATAATTTAATAAAAAAACAACAACAAACCATAACCTGCTTTACAAAGGCTTAAAAGTGGGTTGTGGTGAAATGGTTGCTCTATCATGTCAGCTGGTGCCTCCTTTCTTTCAGTCATTAAACACATACCACTGCCTTCAGTATCTGAGACACTGCAGAACAAGCATGTCAAACTCATGGCCCGTGGGCTGCATGCGGCCCAGCCAATATAACGGTATGTAAGAAATGTTTTAATAAAAATTTCATAACAAATTTCACAATGTCCTGTTATACATGATTATTAATAATGAACTACAATGTTCACTAATGACTGATTACTATGATCGTGTTGCATTCATTTCTTTTACACTAATACTCTGTGTATAACAGGGTATTATAAAAAGTAAGTTACAAAATTTTTATTAAAATGTTTCTTACATACCGTTTATATTGGCTGGGCTGCAAAAATATTCATTGTGGTCCACATGCAGCCCATAGCCTTTGAGTTTGACATGCTTGCTGTAGTAGGTATTTGAGGTAATGAGCAAGGACTCAGTACTGCTTTCAGCCAGTAGGGGAGCAAGATATACTGACATCTCAATGTTAAGGGAGCATCAGTATGAACTGAGACAGGAGATACGAGTCCCAGAGATCCAAAGAAGGGGAAGGGGAGAAAGGCAGGGTTAGGAGAGCTGAGTTTTTATTGATTTCAGAGAGGAAGGGAGAGGGAGAAAGAGATAGAAACATCAATGATGAGAGAGAATCATTGATTGGCTGCCTCCTGCATGCCCCACACTGGGAATTGAGCCCACAACCCAGGCAAGTGCCCTTGACCAGAATTGAACCCGGGACCCTCAGTCTGCAGGCCAAGGAGCCAAACCAGCTAGGGCAATCAATACCAGCTAGGGCAATCATTATAGTGATTAAGGCATATAACTACCTGAAATCAAAAGGAATAATCATCTTATAAAAATTCAAAAACATCTTATGGAAGGAGGACTTTTTATTCTCCAAGTGAATGTGAAAACTATTTCCCTGGGACTGCGTTTCATTTGCCAGAGGTCTGGGTTGATGGGGCCACCTGCTTGCGATATGGCAGGTGTCCCCTTCTTGCCTCTAAGCATACAAGAAACTCTGCCTTGGTTGTAGAGGAAAGAACACCTTCTTTGATAAGGTGTATTCTTTTTTCCCCTTAATTTGTTATTATAGAAAGTTTTTTTTTAATATACAAGAATTACCAACAAAAGGCCAATTTTACTTCAAATACTCCCAAGTTATTTAGAAGCAAATCCTTATTGAAATAAATTAGCAAAGAAGTAGCTCACATCACCGATGAGTGAGTACTAGCTAGCATCACCAGAAATACCGGTTGATATTTTTGTTTGTTTATATAAATGAATAAGAAAATATGTGTTGGAACCTCACTTGTTTGTCAAAAATGTGAGTGACTTACAAGATATCAAGTCTTGATGTGTAGCATATGCTGATTTCTGTCTTATAAATACTTCCATCCTGGCCCATGTTAAGCTGTGAACATGATGTCACCGAATGTGTAGTTGAAAGAAATGGGCAGTAAGTATTTATAATTTAATTTTTTGAAATCACCATTTTTCATAAAATTCCTCAAAATTTAATTTTCAGTGTTTAGCTCTAGCATAGAAAATACAGAAATAGTTTATTCCTTTATTTCCAAACTACTATTCTTAAAACAGGATTTACACGGAAGAAGACAGGAAGTGTTTAGCACTTACCAAGAAGAGGAGGCAGTGGAGGCAACGTAGGTAACTTGATGAGGCCAAAAAGTTTGCCTCCGATGACGGCACAATAGAAAAGGATTATAATCCCAAACAGGTTTCCTCCAGGAAGACATTCACTGCCAGTGATTGACCAAACTACAGCCCACAGGAGAACAACCATGGTAACTGAAATAAACCAGGAAAACGAGTTTTTATCAGTAAGTTGTTATATGCAGGTTTAAATATAACCAAAATTAAAAACACACACACACACATTGAATACGTACACAAATACTTATAACCATGTGTAAATTTGAGAACATAATTACTATGAACAATCAGGTAATAAATAACCCACATCTGAGGAAACAGACTGTTACACCTGGCCTTGAATCTACCTAAGTGCCCCCCTCCTAGCTCCTCCCCAGTTCCTCTTGCCCTGCCAGAAGGAAGTACTATCTTGAATTATTTTTTTTTGCCATTTTCTTTATAATTTTACCATAAGTATCTCAGTAGTTAATATTAAAAAGAGAATCACTATTTTTACCCTTTTCTCAGGAACATGAGAATACTTGAATAATCACATGCCAGTATTTTAGTTCTGCATTGAAGTAGACATTATTATTTCTTTTCTACAGTCACTGTTTGTTTAGAATTACCCACATACTTACCTATTTTTTAAAATATATTTTTATTGATATCAGAGAGGAAGGGAGAGGGAGCTAGACATGGAAGCATCAAAGATGAGAGAGAATCATTGATTGGCTGTTTCCTGCATGGCCCCCACTGGAGATCGAGCCCACAACCCAGGCATGTGTCCTGACTGAGAATCGAACCGTGATCTTCTGGTTTATAGGTCAGTGCTCAACCACTGAGCCACACTGGCCGGGCCTTACCTGAGACCCCGAGAGAGGTCTGATGTCGGCAACGTTCTGACAAGAGGAAGGAAACTTTCCAACCGGATTGGTGCTGAGTCAGGCAGCTCCACCCGCACCCACCACGCTGACCTGCCCCAAGGACACTGCACTTTGATATTTTGATCCATAAAGCCACACAAATAGATCATTTCAGAGGAAGGAATCATACTCTTCAAACTGCTCTACAGGAACTGTAGAAGGTTTTAAATCCCACACAGAGAGGTTGCGTATGAATACACACTTCCGTCCATGATTGCCTTGTCCCAGGCCCAGCGGGCCCAGCAGCCCCTCCCTGGTTGCCACGGGGACCTCCCAGAGACGAACTCTCATCCTAAACTTGCGCCACAGCCCTGCTTTCCTTTAGGGCCTCACCGCACATGGGTGAGCGCCAAGCAATTCGGTTTTGCTGTTTTTAGTTCACGGCTGAGGAAGT